TGTGGGGGGAGGAGGAGCAGGGGAGCCGAGGGATGACAGGGGGAGTGGAGACGGACTAAATTGGTACCTCCCTAGTGTGGCGCCCGGGGGCAACTGCCCCCCATCCCTCCCTCGCTACACTCCTGCTGGGCAGTCTCCGAGCCAAAGGATAAATGGGCAGAAGTCAGACATCAGAAATGGGAATGAACAGTAGGGGAACATTTTAACCTGCCTGGTTGCTCAGTCATGGATGTAAAAGTAGCCATCCTTCTACAAAACCAATGACACAGAGAGAGAGCGGAACTGGCATTTATCTACAAATTTAACACTGTTTCCCTGGGCTTGAACAAAAACATTCGCTGGGTATCTCATTATAAAACCAGCCTTCCCTATTTTTAACACCCCACTAACATCAAAAGCTAAGGATGGGACACTTCTAACCCACTCAATTAGCCTCATTCTCATCGGCACTACAATCAACAGGTACATTTTTCTCCTCTCTCTCTCCTTTCGGACTAAATTGGTACCTCCCTAGTGTGGCGCCCGGGGGCAACTGCCCCCCATCCCTCCCTCGCTACACTCCTGCTGGGCAGTCTCCGAGCCAAAGGATAAATGGGCAGAAGTCAGACATCAGAAATGGGAATGAACAGTAGGGGAACATTTTAACCTGCCTGGTTGCTCAGTCATGGATGTAAAAGTAGCCATCCTTCTACAAAACCAATGACACAGAGAGAGAGCGGAACTGGCATTTATCTACAAATTTAACAGTTTCCCTGGGCTTGAACAAAAACATTAGCTGGGTATCTCATTATAAAACCAGCCTTCCCTATTTTTAACACCCCACTAACATCAAAAGCTAAGGATGGGACACTTCTAACCCACTCAATTAGCCTCATTCTCATCGGCACTACAATCAACAGGTACATTTTTCTCCTCTCTCTCTCCTTTTTCTGTTATACATTCTGTGCTCCCCCCTTTTTTCCCCCTCACTTCAGCTCATCTGAAGAAGTGGGTTTTGACCACGAAAGCTCATGGCTCTATACATATATATTTGTTAGTCTCTAAGGTGCGTTCGGATTATTCATTTCTAACGTTATAGACACACACGGTGACCCCCTCCAAGGCAGAGCAGGGAATCCAATCCCAGTCCAACCGTATGATAAGATTCTCTGCCCTCCTTCATTTCCAGTATATCCCTTTAGCTCAGCCAGTCAGTCAGCCTAAGCGCAGCACGTGTTGCGGTGTGAAAGGCTTCGCTTTGTGACCGCATGACTCGTGTGGCCTAGCAGAGACGTGGTCAATCACAAACGTGATCCAGATTTTCACAATGCCCCAGGAGCAAAAATGCACGTGTGGCTGCCCGAGGGTATTTGCACGTGCCAACAGGAGCAAAAATGCACATGCCATCTGCACGTATGGCTGCCCGAGGGTATTTGCACGTGCCATTCCATGTGCCGCTGTGACAGATGCGCGCACAAATTATCCGCGCTCCTTCTGCCAATCTTGCTGGTGGCCTCCAGCAAGAGAGACCCCAGCTGCAGGGTCAGCCGAGAGGCTCCCAGCTAGGACGAGCGCAGCACAGCCCTTCTGCGGCCGGCCTCCTTGAGCTGCTGGCCACGGAGCATGAGCCTCGGCTGGGGCCACGGGCAGGATACACACATGGCGTGTCCAGCCTTAGCTGGTTAGGTCTGCTCTGGAATGTGGCAGCCAGCTGACATGCACAACCCACCCCCTAGGGAGTATCCCCGAACAGATGATTCATGGGGCACCTTTAGCAGCTGTCTGTGCGTGCCCAAGCATTTCGACAGCCTGGTAGGAGCAGGAATCTCACGGAGCCACTGCCGGCAGCAGGGAAAGACGCCCTGTGAGCCATTGCAATTGAAGCCAAGAGAAACAGAAAAGGAAAACAAGCTTGCTGTACCCTAATCAGACCTATAAAAACCACCCCCTCCCCATGGCTCTGCTCAGTCTTACGATCCACGCGGCAAGGCAATCGGACAATGCAGAGCACAAGCCCAGAGCCATAAAAAGAGACCTCTAGTGAGGCACCCATGTCAAATCCATTCCGCAAGGTCATTCCCTCCCCCACCAAAGACCTGCCAGTGACGCTGCTTAACAAAGGAACACCCTGTTTGCCATGGTGCATGCAACACAGCATAATTCCATCACTCAAACTGGTCCTACATCCCTCTCGGTCCTGCAACCGCCCACCCACGACACCGAAAGCTCGGACAAGCAATTCCCTTCCCCTTAGCTTATTGTCAGTGACAGGCGCTTGCAACTAACAGACCTCCATTCACCTCGACTTCTAATTGTTACCTCCGTGTAATAGATTTCTGGGCTCTTCAGCCAAGTTACGTACTCTCCCCTAAGCTGAGTTATGAGCCGTGGCTAGCTGCCCAATGGTTAGAAACACACTGTAAATCAGGGACACCAAATTACTAATAAAAGTATGTTCCTACTGTGTGATTCAAAATATGTCAAGTTTCACATAATCGTATATTCATTATGAGCTGCAATCCTCTCTTTATTGGTTTACATAGGCTGGAATTACAAACATGTTACAGCAGCATTTCATCACATGCTGTTTCGGTTCTGGTAACTGTTGAAGCACAAACCCTAGACTGCAGCGGAAAAAGAAAAAAAAACAACCCTGCAGCCCAAACACAACCAACTCCCGCAACTCCAGGACGCCGCCAGCGTCAGAGGTGTGAGGATTAAAACGACTTTGTCCTCTTCCAACTTTCCCCCCGCAACAGGACTTGCACACGGTGCACAAAACACACCTGTGCTCCAAAGTGCAGAAGGTGGAGTCTGTTCTTTGAAGTCCCACCTGTTCTAAGCTTCCCTTTCTGCAGAGGTTGAATAGAAATTTCAGCTTGTTTCAAAGGTGGGGAAAGAAAGATCATTTCAAAGGCACGTCGGGCAGCTTTACTGCTCACAGCATGACGTGGCTTTGACAAAGAGCTTCAAGGTTACGTCTTGGTAACAAGGACGGGACATACCTGGGTACTTACACGGGGTACCTGCTCCGACAGAATCCTCCTTTTATAATGCCTCTTTGATAACAATTGGCTAGCCATCTGGGTCTGATCCTCCGCCCACTGAAACCGTTCCCATTCTTTGGCTCCGGCCTCTAGAGCAACTTTTTGGGGCTTAACAGCCCTTTGTAAATGTTTATGGCCTGGCGTGACCCAGTCTGTAGTCTGGGGATGCAAGTTCTGAGGTGATTTCAGTCAGATCCTGTCCCACCCCTCCAGGGGAGGTTGTGTTGTGTCTGGTACTCACCCTAAAATGGTGGCTTCCATGCTTTGAGTCTGGCTGGGCTCAGCTCTCCGCTCCAGGCCTTACATCCTCCAGCTTCCCCTGGACTGGACTAAATCTGAGCAAACGGAAGCGTGACCTAGCTTCAGGGTCCTTCACTCAAATTTGGCCTACCTGGACTCCCATCAGCATCACAGCTGGGCCCAGCCTGAGTGGTGCTGGGTGCCTGGAGCAGGGAGATGAGCCCAGCCTGTCCCCTGGGATGGGAGCTGCTGCCCCACAATGCTTGGAAATATTCTGGTGCCCCATGGGTGGAGAAACTATGGGAGCTGCTTGCCCACAATGCTTGGAAATATTCTGGTGCCCCATGGGTGGAGAAACTCTGGTCTAGAGAACATCTCGAGGCAAGCGCCGCAAGGCCCCACAGCAGGCAGAAGCGGAGGTCAATCACAGAACCATAGGGCTGGAAGAGACCTCAGGAGTCATCAAGTCCAGCCCCCTGCCCAAAGCAGGACCAACCCCAACTCAATCATCCCAGCCAGGGCTTTGTCAAGCCGAGACTTAAAAAACTCTAGGGAGGGAGATTCCACCCCCTTCCCAGGGAACCCAGCCCAGTGCTTCACCCCCCTGCTAGGGAAATAGTTTTCCTAATATCCAACCTAGACCTGCCACACTGCAATGTAAGACCTTTGCTCCTTGTTCTGTCACCTGCCACCACTGAAAACAGCCTCTTGCCATCCTCTTCGGACCCCCTCTTCAGGTAGCTGAAGGCTGTTCTCCAATCCCCCCTCATTCTTCTCTTCTGCAGATTAAATAACCCCCATCCTTCAGCTTCTCCATGTAGGTCATGTGCTCCAGCCTAAAATGACTCTGGTGGGATTTGAACCCACAACCTTTGAAGCATAGGCCAAGCTCAAACTAACCACCACTGCTTTCCATTGTACCTCAGAGCCCCACCCATCAATCACACTCTGCTCTCCAGTATCCTGCCCCAGGTCACAACCCAAACCCATGCACTTCCATCCTCTGCCTTAGGTCACAACCCCCCTCCCAGACCCCGCACCCCTCCTCCCGGGCAGAATCCTCTCCTCCACCCATACCCCCTCCAGGACCCGGCCCTCCCTTCTGCACCCCAGGCTCCTGCCCCAGATCACAATCCCCTCCTTTATACAAACTCCCTCCCAGACCCCACACCCGCTCGTACATCCCAGTCCCTTACTCTGAGCTCCCGTCTGCACCCAACCTCCATCCCAGACCCTGCACTTCCTCCAGTAACATCACAGAAGATGCAGCCCTTGAACACTTACCAAATCCGTGGGAGTGGCCCCCCACCCAAAATGATTGCCCACCCCTGCCCTAGCAGATGGAAACCGGCTGGCTTTGTGGCAACCGCAGAGGGGTAGGGCAGGAGACCGTCACACAGCATGTGCAGTCTTTGGTATTATAACAGCGCGGATTCTGAGGCTAGGTTAATACACATGCCCTGCCTTGAAGGCCTGGTGATCTGAACAGATGAGACAGAGCAAGGGGAGAAGGAAGGGGTGGAAAATAGGGGCTGGCCTGCCAGGGGCAGTTTCTTGCCATTTCAACCAGAAAGGACATTGTCTCAACGACTTGATTACCTGCATCCTGCTTCAAAGACCTTTTCAGACCATACTTGAAAGAGAATCCTCTGAACTGTCATTCATGCTTAAATTCGACACTTTACACTTAGGTTTAAACAAAGACATTAATTATCTTACCCATTACAAAGATAGCTTCCCCAATTATCACCTCTAATATCATTAGCTCACAGACATTTACCTTCCTCCCCCCATCCCCCTTCTGTTCTGAAATTTGATTTGTCCTTTTCATATGTGTTCATTTTTTTTAATTGTATTCTTTGGTATATATGGTTGTGACAATTTTCTTCCACTATTTGATCTGAGGAAGTGGGTCTGGCCCACGAAAGCTCATCCCGTAATAAACCATCTTGTTAGTCTTTAAAGTGCTACGTAGTCCTGTTTTTTGTTCCAGCTACACCAGACTAACGCGGCTACATTTCTATCACCCTTAAAGGGGCAGGCGACCTTTTATTTTTTCCCCCCTATTGACCTCCCCCCCCCCAACAAAGAATCCTTGGTGTTCCTCATAAAAAAAATATTATTGTTTTATTATTGTTTGGTGTTCCTTGGTCTTAAAAAGTTTAAGAAACACTGGGTTAGACTCTGCTCCTCCCAGTGTTAGATAGCAGAACAGGTTCAATGTGGTTGAATGCAGCAACAAATATTTAGTCTGAGTGGACATCTGCAACCAAACAGCCTAATGCCGAACCCTGTAGATAGTATCACGCAGCAGGCTCCTTTTCAGGGCTGACTTTTCTCCTCCCAGAGCAGAGAGGCAAGGCCGGTTTGTGGAGGAGAGCTTCCCAACTCAAGGAATGAACATGATCGCAAGAGGGAGGAAAAAAAAAAGTCACCCTGAATATGATCCGTATGAAACCTCACCTTCTCTGGATATAGGATCATGTTTTAATACCCCAGATAGTTTTCCTCTTAAGAACAGTTATAGATTTAAAAAATGAAGGTATCGTCAAATAAATGATAATGTGGTCGGGAAGGTTTTTCTGATCGCTCTTTCAAGAACTCTCTTTTTTCTCATCCCCAAACAACAGCCACTCCGAACCTATCAGCTTTCAGAAGGATTTAAAAAAGTGATAAGACACAAAGGGCACATCTAAACTACGTTCTAATTCTGAAAGAGGATATGCAAATTCCAGAAGAATTTGCCTATCTTCTTCCGATTGCTTTTTCGAAAGTGGGTCTTTCGAAAGTGAAAGTAGTCTGGATGCATTTTTTTCAGGAAAAAGCCCCTTTTTCGAAGAAAAACAACAAACAAAAACACTTCTAAAAAAAGGTTTATGTGGTTTTTCGAAAAAGGATTTTTTTCCTGAAAAAAACCGTGTCCAGACTACTTCCACTTTCAAAAGATACGCTTTCGAAAAAGCGATTGGAAGAAGATATGCACATTCCCGCGGATATGCAAATTCTGTGGGAATTTGCATAACCTGCGGATATGCAAATTCCTGCAGAATTTGCATAACCTTTCGAAATTAGAATGTAGTCTAGACGTGCCCAAAGACTGTCTGTCTGTCTGTCTGTTTCCTCATGTTGATAGACTAGACTAGACTAGACTGCACTAGACTAGACTAGACTAGAATAGCTCTGGGACAAGACAAATGATTAGTACCTTCCAAAAGCGCCGTATGTGTTTACTATCCTGAGCGGGTTGAAGGAGGTGTTCATGACTTGTCTGGAATTAAGCAGGTTGAGAATGACGGGAATACTCAGGTAGGCGATCAGGAGTCCAAAAGAGACATTCACCACTTTGCGGACGTAGCAGCCTGGGGAGGACACAAACAGAGCCAGGAAGGAAGTGACTTCACTGTCAGTACAACACTATTTCAAAATAACTAGCGCTATCCCAAAATAACTTAGTCCGCGTCTACACAGCAGGCAGTTATTTCGCAATAGTGTCAAAATACTGTCAAGCTGGAGGACTTCTTACTCCCATTCCTGTGACCCTCATTGTACGAGGAATAAGGGAAGTCAGAGGAAGAGGGCTCTGTTTCTAAATGTGTGCTGCGTAGACGCTCCCTATTTCGAAATAAGCAACGCCACTGACGTAGCTCAAGAGGCGTAGCTGATTTCGAGTTAAGCCCCGCAGTGTAGGTGCCCCCTATCTGAAGTTCCTCATTGTCAGTTTAGATCCTACTCCCTCCCCCAAACCTTTCCTGTCCCCTGCCAGGCAATTTCAGGGTGTGTCTAGACTACATGCCTCTGTCGACGGAGGCATGTAGATTAGACAGATCGGCAAAGGGAAATGAAGCCACGATTAAAATAATCGCGGCTTCATTTCCCTTTTTCGAATACACAAATCTACATGCCTCCGTCGACGGAGGCATGTAGATTAGACAGATCGGCAAAGGGAAATGAAGCCACGATTAAAATAATCGCGGCTTCATTTCCCTTTTTCGAATACACAAATCTACATGCCTCCGTCGACGGAGGCATGTAGATTAGACAGATCGGCAAAGGGAAATGAAGCCACGATTAAAATAATCGCGGCTTCATTTCCCTTTTTCGAATACACAAATCTACATGCCTCCGTCGACGGAGGCATGTAGATTAGACAGATCGGCAAAGGGAAATGAAGCCACGATTAAAATAATCGCGGCTTCATTTCCCTTTTTCGAATACACAAATCTACATGCCTCCGTCAACGGAGGCATGTAGTTTAGACGTACCCTCAGAGGGCTGCTACCAGCAGGTGTCAGCTCCCTTTCAAGCTCAAGTGGGTGAATTCTTGCTCATGCTCAAACCAACCCGTGCCAGTAAGCCATGTTGTATCTCTCCAAAGATCTGCCTTTCTCTAAATACTCTGAGAAGGGGCTAAAAAGAAAAATGTCTGCAATGTCAGAGCAATTACAGCTTAGCGTTGGAAAAACCCACCGATGGCATTTAGACATTGTTCAAAATTGCCCCTCTTGTTTTCCATGGACGCTCTCCTGCTGATCTTAAACCTTCTCTGTTCCCCGACACGTTCCTAACACCAGCCTTTTCTTTGTCCTCTTTCACCGCTGGTGCAAGAAACACGTGTTCTCTGCCGCTCTTACCCCTGGAATTGGCTTTTCTGCGTCTTCCTGCCTCTGACACAAAAACTTCCTTTGCTTCTCATCTTTTTCCTGGCTAATGCGTCTATACGTGTCCCTCCCCTTTGGCTATTATTTCAACTTCAGAGCTGCATTATTTGACACTGTGGAGTGCTTTGGGATATGGCTTGCATGAAGAACTCTGCAAACCAGACTGGTGCGATACAGGATAAAATGCAGCATTTCAGGCTACAGAGAATCTAAAGTTATTACAATCGGGCAAAGCAGCAAAGGCTTCTGATGGTTTTTTTGTGTGCTGATGATTGTTTTCAATTTAATGTGGAGAAGGAGAAGACTCAAAGCAAATGCACGCAGCTTCCCTCTTATCTCTGCAGGAGCGGGATGTTTATTTAAACCTCTCACATAGTATGAATAATTGTTTAGTCTGGGAATATTTTTGGAGAATCACTTGAGTCGGAAGGGCGCTCAGGGTGGGTTATCTAACCCAGTCCCCGGCATCGCAGCAGGGTTGCCTCTGTGATGCAGCAAAGCAATACAGAAGTCGCCTGGGGAGGTTTGTTTGTCTTTCGACTGGCCCGAGGCTTCTAGCCTGCAAGGGAAAAAAAATCAGAGACGAACACCAAAGTGCAAAGTTTTACTGCCAGTCTCGGTGCCTCTCTAGGGTCACCCTTTTGTCTGAGTGCTAAGTTGGGGCTTGATTCTGCATCTCTCGACTCCTCAGACTCCTCTGACATTAAAGGGGTGAGTGAGGGTTTGCCCTTCCCTGATCAGCTGCACCCTGGACACCCACAGAACTGTGCACCATAACCAGAGTCTGCAAGGTGCACCTATCTGACCTTTCCAGGCAGTGACAGAAGAACTCATGGGGAGAATGGCACCCGAAAGGAGCCAAACTGGAGGAAGAGGTGCAGGATCTGCTAAAGAGTTTAGTGGGACTTGGATCCGATGCACAGATAGCAAGCAGCAGCTCCTAAAAGGTATTTAGGCACCTAAGTCCCATTGATATCAACCAGCGTTGGTGCCTTAGGAATCTGGCCCCATGGGACAAGCCCCATTAATCTTTGCATGAGCCAAAGGGCTACGCTCTGTTCTTCTGACTCTTGGGATTCACGGTCCTCTAGAACTTCTGCTTCATGGCACTCCTGTCCCAGGCTACGATTCAGCAATCCAGTATTATCCAGCATGTGCCTAGGTGCTTTCTGGAACGGGGTGGATTTAAGCCGGGTCTGAGACCCAGGCTTGTAGCAAGTATGGGAGGGTTCTTCTGTCTGGAGCATCGTCCAGATGACTGCAGGCCATCAACCTAAGTCACGCAACTTCAGCTACATGGATCACTAGCATGTTTCCCTGGCATTGCTCGGGTCCTTAAGGAGGGGCTCCGGGTAGGGGGCTGGGAATGTAGGAGTCAGGTTTGGGGTGTGTGTGTGTGTGAGGAGAACCTTTGGCAGGGGACTCTATGTGCATGGGGGGAGGGGAAGGAGGCTGAAGGTCCCTCCCCCCGCTCCGAGATTTGTACCAGGACTGCTTGCTCTTCTCTTACCTGTCCCAGCCAGGGAGCGAGAGCAAAGTGTGCAGTTCATCTGCCCCCTGCACTCCCCAGCCACAGTGAGGAAAGGAGCAAACTGTGCACTTTCCCCTTGTTCCCTAACAAAGGGGAACAGCCAACAATGTCCTCATACAAATCGGGGCGGGGGGGAGGGCAGCTTCAGTCCATCCAGGCTGTCCGTACAGGGCACCTGGGGGGTGGGAGACTTGGGGATGGGGCCGTCCTGGATGGGGTGGAATGCACCCCCTGCCAACCCTTTCACCTGCCCAATGATTGGTTCTTTTTTGCTTGGTTTTCTGAGATGCAATTCCATTCCAGGCTTATCCCGTTTTCCTGACACAACCAAACAATTATGTTGCTTTAAGTTAGGGCGAGAGGAAGCTGTGTACAGAATTTGGTGGTCCTGTCTCTCACTGTTTAGGAGTTCTTGAACAGACAAACAGACAAACTCCTCTCCAATATATAGCAGATGTATCTGAAGTTGACCTAATTATGTCTGCTTATGGCGGTATCTTCACTGTGTTAAGTTGGCAGCTGACACCCTCCCATCGACTCCACTTACTCTTCTCGTTTTGGTGGAGTATCGGAGTTGACAGGAGAGGTCGATCCATTCTATCATGAAGGCATGCCCTAGGTAACCTTTCGCTTGTGGTCTGTGGGAAACTGTCTGAGAGTGTTGGGGGAAAGGCTGGGAAGGTGGGTTAAAAGAGGATCTCTCTCATTCTCCAAGTGATCCAAGATTGGGACACTGAACAACCACTTTTCCGTCTTGTCTCCAACAAACCAGAAACAGGTTTACTCAGAGTGACCGAAAATCCCAACTCCACATGAGATCTCTCGTGCCACTTCGATCACTGCAGTCACCAGCCCTGCTGGAAAGCTCTTTGGATTTCAAACACTGCTGCTAAAGAGATTTCTAGTAAAATATTTAAAATAAATACATAGTAAAATGTCATTGCATTTTCTAGCAGGACTGAAACCAAACACTTCAGTTTAACAAACAGCTTAATTGGGGGAGGGAAGGGGATCGGACTTGCTTCAAAAGAACGTTTTATCTTGTAAACATTCTTTTGTCTTTCTGATGGACGGTTGGTATATTTAAAAATGAGCATCTGCAACTGATGTTGATACTATGTGCAATGTGTTGCTTACATGTCACTTATACAAATACTAGAAAGAGCTTTACATCTGTTACCCAGCCCCTGTAAAGAAATCCCCCTGCTTGCTATGCTGTCAGTTCTCGTTGGGGATATTATTGTATTTTTTTTTTAATCTTAGCAGTGTACCTTAGCCTCATGCTTCGTTGGTTTTTTTTTTCAGGTTAACAAAACTTCTTCTATTTACATTTTCATGCTAGACCTGTTGGCCAAACTATATGCCCAGGGCAATTTGACAGCCAAGTTCTTGATGCTCAAACAAAGCTAGTGTTCTTAAAATCTAAGAGCACCACTCCTTAAAAATTATGCATTTATAAGAGTGACTTTTTTTGCCCTTCCCTCTCTATTACGTTTATAGTGTCAGTGGCAAATGCTGGAAATTGGAAAGTGTGATCCATGTAAAACACGTTTTTCATGTTTAAATGTTAAAAAATACTGGTGAAACTCCAGTCCCCTTGCAATCAACGAGAGTTTTGTCCTTGACCTCAGTGGAGCCAAGTTTTCAACGTATCTGTGGCTTAATTTTAATACCTCTGAATCCTTTCCTCATGCTGAATAGTACCTTAAAGCAGCGGTTTTCAAACAACGGGGCACGACCCAGGACTGGGTGGGTGGGACGTTGGGCCCTGAGTCTCATTGCTGCAGGGGGATCAGGTGACCAGTGGGAGGGGCTAAGGCAGCTTCCTGCCTATCCAGGCATCACAGACTGAGCCAGAAGTAGTCGGAAGCAGGTGTGGCTCCTAGGTGGAGGGCAGAATGCACAGGGCTCCGTGCACTGCCCCTGCCCTGAGCACTAGCTCCGCACTCCCATTGGCCGGGAGCCTGCTGCCGGCTGCTTCTGGAGCGCAGGCTGGTCTGTGGTGCCAGGAGAGGCAGGAAGCTGCCTTAGTGCCCCCACTGCACTGCTGACTGGGGTCCACTCAAGGTCAGCCCTGCCTGTCTTTGTTGTGACCCCCCCGCCAAAGCCAAAGCCCCCTCCTACAGCCCAAAGCTCTTCTCCTCAGCCCCACTCCGGGGCCCGCACGCTAGTCACATTCTGTTGGGTCGCGGCATCAACAATTTTCTTCAACTGGGTTATGAGAAAAAAAAAAAAGCTTGAAAACCGCTGCCTTCAAATACCCCTCAAGTCAATGGAGCGGGTGCCATCCGCCATGAACAAAGATGCTCACCCAAAGTCACCAGCAGGCCAGCGGCTGAGCTTGGAGGACCAGTGCTAAGCGCACCAGGTGGATAAGTTCGGAGACATGCTAAGGGAGGGCCCTTCAGGGTATCTCAGAAACTTGATGGCTCCTGGCTACGGATCTATAAATGGGCTTGTTTTTCCTACACACGCGTCTGTAGAAGGGGCTGCGAGTCTCCGCAAGGTCACTGGATGCTAGGACCTCTCTTGGTCCTCGCTCTTGCACACTGAGGGTTAGGAAAAGTTGAAACTGGACGCCTACCGTATCTCAAAGGAAGCCTCTGTCCTGCTGCCTGTTCGGCTTGTATCTTCAACACTTGGTCCTTCACACGTCCCTCTTTGGAGCTGAACAGGAATCCCACACAGCGGTCATCAAAACAGGCAACGCTAGGCACGATCGTTAACCAGTTGAGGAAGCTCAGGTTCCCACTGATAATTAAGACCACCTAGAGTAGGAAAGAATGAAAGCACTGGGCAGTTGCGAGTACAGGTAGGGAAATGAATGGGAAACATGTCGTCTGGTTAGGTTTCTGAGCAACAGGGCCCCAGCCTTACTACAACAGCATTTGTCTATAGGAGGAAAGGAAACGTCTCTCTGCACAACGGTTTGTTCCCTGGAAACAAGGTTTGGTAGCGTGGTGATTACAGCTGACTGGTTTGGAAGTGTACGGCTGTAACAAACCATCTGGGAGTGTGAACAGGCCCTGCCAACCTGCAGAGAAACCTGTGTGGCCAGTGGCCATCCTTAGGTGACAACCTCAACTCTCAAATATCATTTCACTTCTGATGTGGGTGGATCTCAAAAATAGGGCCAGACAGCCCTGCGTCAAAGGAGCTTCCAGCTGCTCCAGCTCATGGAAACATTGAGCAAATCAATTTTTTAAAATTACTTGACAAATATCGATAAACATTCGTGCCCTGTACCTTCTGTGCTGCTGAGGGGGTTTCCCTTGCACTACTTCCTGGCTTTGGGGGACCGTTCATATCAGATTTTCACAGGGGACCCTAATACACATTGTCACTGCCTGATAGTTGCAATCCTACAGCTACGCTAAACCACTGTGTGTGTGTGTGTGTGTGTGTGTGAGGCAGGGGGAGTGTTATAAAAAAGAGTTAGCTAGAAGTCTGGCACATCAGACAGGAAAGAAATGGCTGAATTTCCTCCTGCTGCCGTCATGGAGGCGGAACTGAGGCGGCTGTGGATGGCAATTCTGTCCAATGCCTTGGGCACTCAATGTCTGGTGACACAAAGGGATACTCATCATGGAATCATAGGACACTAGGACTGGAAGGGACCTCGAGAGGTCATCGAGTCCAGTCCCCTGTCCTCACGGCAGAACCCAGCACCATCTAGACCAGGGGTGGCCAACCCCCAGCTCTTTGCTCAAAGAAATGTGGCTCTTGCTGGTTCTAAGCCATGCACTCAGACTGCTCACAGCCGGCTGCTCTGCACACGTGCCCCAGTGCCTGGAGGGAGAAGTGCGTGGTGGTGGTGGTGGCTCTGGTGAGACCCAGGCATTAGGTTAGAGTGTGGGGGGGGGTAGGGGCCCAGGCAGAGACAGGTGAATCCTGGAGGTGAATGCCTGTTGCTCTTGGATTTATTACTTCGTTTTAGCACCGCATCTTAAAATACATCCAAAGAAGTTGAGGAACAATTTCTGTGGAAAGGAAATTACTTAGCTTCTTTGCAGTGTCTTTATTCTCCTTTAATTTTCTATTTACTCTCTGCTAGTCTAGCAGACTCAACGTCTCTCATAGACTTCCTGCTTCTTAGAAACAAATATTTTTGTAATATTTTGGCTGTTTGCTCATCAATTCCCACTTTGCAAACCTGATATCTATCTTACATTTTACCTATCCTTATTTCATTTTCTGCACTATAGACTTAACTATAGACACTGTGTTTCTTTAAAGAAAATTCAAAGGCTATTATTTGCCAGGCTAAAGCAATTATTCTGAGATATGAGTCTCTCGCTTATTGTTTGGAACAGACCTGAATTTTTAGAACTAACAAAAAAGCCCATAATCCTCTTAATTAAAAAAAAATGAGGAAGCCATACCAGAGACCAACAAGCTGGAGTGAAACAGGCACTTGAAATTGTGCTGATTTACTTCTCAGTTCAGTTTAATTTTAAAAAACTCACAGGACATCATAGGACAGTCGTTTTACATTTAAAATACATGGTGGGGATGCTTATAGTTAGTGTGAGAATATTACTGTATTTTTAAAGGGTTGTTGTTTTTTTAATTTGATGTTTGTTCCTTGTCAAGTTCTCTGAAGATCTATGGACTGGCCATGAATTTTTTAAGTGACTAGAGATTTTTGTTATTGGTTTTTGTCTGAAATATCTTGTAATGTTATTTTTATCACTGCATTTTGTGTTCTCTCTCTCTTTCTCTCTCTATGTATATATAAAATACGTGGCTCTTTGCACTCTATCCACAGCTATTTTGGCTCTTCGTCTCTAACTGGTTGGCCACCCCAATCTAAACTGTCACTGACAGATGCTGGTCTAACCTGCTCTTGAATATCTCCAGTGATGGAGATTCCATAACCACCCTAGGCAATTTATTCCAGTGTTTCACCACCCTGACAGGAATTTTTTCCTAATGTCCAACTTAAACCTCCCCCTTGCTGCAAGTTAAGCCCATTGCTTCTTGTCCTATCATCAAAGGTCAAGAAGAACAATTTCTCTCCCTCCTCCTCTTCCCTCATAGCTCATGTTTGCTAGACCTTTGATCATTTTTGTTGCTCTTCTCTGGACCTTCTCCAATTTCTCCACATCTTTCTTGAAATGTGGTGTCCAGAACTGGACACAATACTCCAACTGAGGCCTAATCAGCAAAGAGTAGAGCTGAAGAATGACTTCTCGTGTCTTGCTCACAACACTCCTGTTAATGCAGCCCAGACTCATGTGTGCTTTTTTTTACAACAGTTTCACACTGTTCACTCATATTTAGCCTGTGGTCCACTATGACCCCAAGATCCCTTTTTGCAGTACTCCTTCCTACACAGTTGCTTCCCATTATATGTGAGAAACTGACTGTTCCTTCCTAAGTGGAGCACTTTGCATTTCTCCTTATTAAACTTCATCCTATTTACCTTAGACCATTTCTCCAGTTTGTCCAGGTCATTTTGAATTTTGACTCTATCCTCCAAAGCTCTTGCAACCCCTCCCAGCTTGGTTTCATCTGCAAACTTAATAATCATATTCTCATTATCAATTAGTTAGATATTAGCAAAGACATGGAACAGAACCGATCCCAAAAGAGACACCTGCAGAACCCCACTTGTTATGCCCTTCTAGCATGACTGTGAACCGTTAATAACTACTCTCTGAGAACGGTTATCCAGCCAGTTGTGCGCCCATCTTATAGTAGCCCTATCTAGGTTATATTTCCCTGGTTTATTGATAAGAAGGGCATACGAGACCTAACAAATGCTTTACTAACTAGGTATACAACGTCCACCACATCCCCCTTATCCACAAGGCTTGATATCCTATCAAAGAAATCTATCAGATTGGTTTAACATGCTTTGTTGTTTACAAATCCATGCTGGCTGTTCCCTATCACCTTATTATCTTCCAGATGTTGGCAGATGAATTCCTTAATTACCTGCTCCATTATCTTTCCTGGCACAGAAGTTAAACTGACTGGTCTGAAGTTTCCTGGGTTGTTCCTATTTCCCATTTTATATATGGGCACTAGTTTTGTCCTTTTCCAGTCTTCTGGAATCTCTCCTGACTTCCTTGACTTTTCAAAGATGATAGCTAATGGCTCAGATACCTCCTCTATCAGCTCCTTGAGTATTCTAAGATGCATTTCATCAGGCTCTGGTGACTTGAACATATCTAACTTCTCTAAGCAATTCTTAACTTGTTCTTTTCCTATTTTAACTTCTAAACCCACCTCATTTCCACTGGCATTCACTATGTTAGGCATCCAGGCACCACCAAGCCTTCTTGGTGAAAATCAAAACAAAGACATCGTTAAGCACCTCTGCCATTTCCATTTTTTCGTTATTTCTGCCTCTTCACTGAGCAATGGGCCTACCCTGCTGTTAGTCTTTCTCTGGCTTCTAATACATGGGGGCTGTGTCTAGACTGGCCAGTTTTTCCGGAAAATCAGCCGCTTTTCCGGAAATACTATGCTGCTCCCGTTCGGGCAAAAGTCCCTTTTGCGCAAAACTTTTGGGCAAAAGGGCCAGTGTAGGCAGCTGAGATTTGTTTTCCGCAAAAAAAGCCCTGATCGCGAAAATGGCAATTGGGGCTTTTTTGCGGAAAAGCACATCTAGATTGGCCACGGACGATTTTTTCTGAAAATGCTTTTAACGAAAAACTTTTCTGTTAAAAGCATTTCTGGAAAATTGTGCTAGTCTAGACGTAGCCGGGTAGAGTGTTTTCTTGTTACCTTTTATATCTCTAGTTAGATTGAACTTTTTGTGGCTTTGCCTTTCTAAGCTTACCCCTACATACCTCAGTTATTTGCCTATATTCATCCTTTGTAATTTGACCTAGTTGCCACTTTTTCATTTTGACATCATTTAAGATCTCTTGGTTAAATCCAGGTGGTCTCTTGTCATACCTTCTATCTTTCCTATGGAGTGGAATAGTTTGCTCTTGGGCCCTTAATAATGTCCCTCTGAAAAACTGTCAACTGTCTTGAATGGTGTTTCCTCTTAATCTTCCTTCCCATAGACCTTACCTACCACCTCTCTGAGCTTACCAAAATCTGCCCTCCTGAAATCCACTGTCTTTATTTTGCTGTTCTCTTCCTTCCATTCCTTAGAATCATGAACTCCATGATTTCATGATCACTTTCACCCAAGCTGCCTTCCGCTTGAAAATTCTCAACCCATTCCTCACGATTTATTAAAATCAAATCTAGAAAAGCTCATACAGCCACTTCCCCGGCAACAGTCCAAGCTTTGCACACAGCTCGAGAAGCAACCGCCTCAAAGAACTACAACCTCTGCTACGAAGCCTCTTTTTCTTCTTGCGGTGACCATCAGTGTTCCCTCTAAGATGCTCGGCAGTACAGCTTCACAGGTGATTAATCAGCCCTACCCAGTCAGTTTGTTCCATGCAGCTCAGAGCCCTGAGTCTCTGACTGGGCAGGACTGATTAATCACTGGGAAGTTGTGAGCTGTGAGTAGCTTAGAGGGAACGTTGGTAGTCACCGCAAGAAGAAAAAGAGGCTACTTACCAGAGGTTGTAGTTCTTTGAGGCAGTTGCCTCTAGAGCTGTGCGGGTAGGGGAAACACCCCTGGAGGGCATACCGTACTTCCATACCAAGTATATCCCATAGTAAGTGCTTGATGCTGGCGTAGATGGACATTGGCTCTGATCCACTCTGGCAATGCCCATGTATTTGCCTCAAGACCATCCAAATGGGCATTCTCATTACCCATCACTCCTCACCATAAAAGAAAAAGGGTTAAGAG